CAGCGGCCAAATCACCAAATGCACAGTTTTGAGGCTCGAGCAGCGGCAAAAGGGACGCAGTGCCTTTTGGTCTTCAAACCTTTTCAGACAATGTACTTGGTTGACTGTTTCGATTGGACGACGGGCTCCAAATCGCGCCCGCGACCTCCCCGTTGCGCCAAGGATGAAGCCTGCCCCCCACAGTGAAACGATTTTGGCAGCCCCCAAAGTCTCCAACATGGCAGTTTTTCTGGGTTTGCAGGGTGTTTTCTTTTTTTGGTTGGCCGGGGTCAGCAGCGCCCCGGTTTCAGCATGTTTCAGCATGTTCAGCTGCCCAGCCTCTTTGACATCCTTCCTTTTTCGTCAGGATGGGAAGAACCCACTGGTGAGGTGGGTCACAGTGCCGCTCTTCTGTGGTTGTCAGACGGACTCTTGCGGTTGTGGTTGCTGTTTTGGGACTGATAGTGATTCAGGAGTTTCAAGAATTTGAGCCATCTGGAGCTCGCCACAATTCCGACAAAGGGTGCAGTACCGGGGAAGGCTTTTGCTTTTCCGTATGTTCACATCTACAAGGAAGTCTTCTTTTATTTTTGCCAAGGTCATGGGCTCGTTCCCCCTCTTTCTCTATGATGTGTGTACACGTGCATATATACTTATTATGGTTTTCATCTAGTTTTTATTTGTATATATAATATAATATATATATACAAAAACTAGATATAGACTTATTTTGCACGGGATCAATGCCCTTTAATTCCTAGCACATAGTACCCGCGTAGAACTATACAGTTGGGGTAGCTTCCATATCGCATCATATCACCCCCGTCGGAGAGAAACAACACACGTGCTTTTGGCACGCATGATGCTGGACGGTGCGAAGCAGCAAAGTGACCTCTGTGCCCTTTACGGACACCACTCTCCGAACACCTCATGGTTTGAAGTTAGAGACTCACCGACCCTGATGCCACGGACTCCTGCAGCTCCACCTTGGCCCGTTCCTCATCCCCAGTGAAGCGTCCATTGGCCATTGGCCCTGAGCACCGCCATTTCCCTGCTCACCATCCCCTCAGCATCGAGGCTGCCTGCCCCGTTCGGGACTCGTTCCCTCGGACGGTGGCCTCAGGAAACGGACGAGGGCACAAGAGATTTGCGCTGAGCACAAGGCCATAGCACGTGGAGATCACCAGCGCATGATGCTGGCCGCAAGTAGGTTTTGGGTGGGTTCTGCGGGGGATGTTCCTGCATGAGGGAGCTTGAGAGAGAGCTACTGGACGCAGTACTAGGTACCGGTATCGCAGATCCATCACTGGACCCCCAAAGCCCAAGCGGATGAGCTCCGGCCGTCGCTTGGCGCTCTTCGGGTCGATCGCGCGCGCGATCGACCCGAACCCCCCCGACCCCACCGCAGCCTCCGCCCCACGTCTCGCCGCGCGGACGCCGCGGGGACGCCCGAGGATTCAGCAGCACGAGGCCTTTCTCCACCGGCGCGATGAGATTCGGGACCTGCACTACTGGCAGGGCACACATCGTTGTGGAATCCAGTATGCCAATACGGAGCCTAGGCCCGGAAAGCCCAACAGCTGGACAAAACGATAGGAGTCTTCTGACACACCGGATTGGATGGGTTGAATTTGATGGTGATGTTATGTGATGTTGGTAAGTCTAACTGATTCCTACAGTTCCTTTTTGGGGGGTTCGAGTCCGAATGCCTTGGAGGTCGGGCCACTGCCGGCTGATTTTGCCATTTCACCTGGCCCAAAACCAAAAGAGCCTCGGGTCATAGCCGGGCATAGCTGGGCGTAGCCCTTGCCTTTCCTTTGGGGTGCCAGAAAGGCCGCCAAGAAGCCTATACTGTGTCCTATCTGAGCTGGAAAGAAACATGGGAATCTAAGAGACCCATCTGGCGAGCCAAAAGTCTTGGAACTTCATCCCACTGGCGCCTCCTTCCACCAGCCACCAACGGAGGCTGAAGAAGCCTTTTTTGACTATCCGACTATTCTACCCTAGCGGGGTCCTATTTGCGGTCACTTACACTCTCGAAAACTCACAACATAGAAGTGTACAACCATGTACAACCACCTGTTTGTAGTGGAAAAATGGTCTTCCGAACTCGGTGCCAGGCCATCCACTTCCACCATGTGAGTGTATAGTGGAATGTATCTCTCATCCCACGCGGCCACGCCGAGGATTTCGATGCCAAGGACACGTGGCAGGACCTCGGTGGCGCTGAGAGTCCGGCGCACTGCCAGCGACAGTGCACCTGGAACCGGGGATGTGAGGCCATGCGCATGGGGATGATCGGTGGGGGGAGGGTTCCGAGAAGCACCCGGGGGGGTTCCTGATGGCAATGGCATGGACCAGACTGGAAGACGACTTTTCCTCTACAATGCCATTGGTTTTCAGGTTCCATCATCCAATCTTCCAGGGCGTATGATGGGGATGATGGGGATGATGAGGACGAGGACATGCAGTTGGGCTGGGATGGAAGTCATGGGAGTTCTGAATTAAATTCTATTGGACTATGCAGGTGACGGCCACAAAGAAGTCTGTCAGATCTACCAAATATACTTTGGGATCTTTGGGTATCTTTGGCCACTGGGTCGGGGCTGAAAGAGGGCAGGCTAGAGACTGCAGGTTATCTGACTGTTTGGGGCCCATTCAGTTTGCTTTTGACTGAGACTTTATGAATCGAGTGGGTATGTGGAGACATGTGGATGCACATAAATGCAGGTCCTTCTTCGATTCCATTTTTGGGCCCGGAATTGCTCTTCCTTATGCCAATGGTTGAGGCTCAGTTCGCCCGCTTTTGTTGATGGCACTTTTCACCTCCCTTCACCGTCTTCAACGCTCTGTTCGCCCTCGTTCTCGCCGCCTTCAGCCGATGTTGTGCAGGGCTTCTCTTGGAGTCGTTGGGGGTGCTATCTCAAGCGCCTGGAGGAACACCCGAAGCACAACAGGCGTCCCGGTCACGGTCCCGACCGCCTTCGAAGTCGCCATGGTGTTCGGTCGTTCTGGGGGATGCACGGCGTTGTCGTCGGCGTTGCTTTCTGTGAACAGGGGGTTGGGTGGTTGTTGTGCAGAGGCTAAGGAGGTATAACAATGGGTATACTCGTGGGGGGTTTTAGATCTGCACCTGGGTGTACAAAAACGGAAGAGGCCAATGCAATTTGAACAGAGGCTGCGGTCTTTTTTTTCCCACTTCCATGTCGTTCAGCCTCAGAGGTGATTGAATTTGGATCTTCTTGGTTTGGTGTTTGGCACATTCGCACCGCCTTCCAATACCTGGACGGTGTCCTTTTGGTTGGCAGCCAATGCTTGAACCACCGGCAGGCCTTGTCAGAGGGCTCAGCTCCGGTCTGGTCCCCCGGCCTGCTCCCCCGTCTGAAGGTCCAAAGACAGCAGCTTCACGCACAAGCACGTGGTCCGGGTGACCCAGTGCGAACGACGGAAAAAGACGAAACCCAGACACGACCGCCATCTGGGACTGCCAGCGTCCGGACTGCCTTCAAAACGGCCTTTCCCGGGGTGGTGCTGGCAGGGGGTCTGTTTGGGGCGGCAGTCCGTCCTGGCAGTCCCAGACAGGTCGTGTCTGGGATCTTCTCCTTTCTCCGCGGTCCGCGCGTATAGTATCGGGAAGAATGTGTTCGGTCTGCGGGGTCGGCGAGCTGGGTGCGTTCATGAATCGGTTTTTGTTTCTTACCTCCCCAACTTCATTGCCCATGCTCGGTTGGTGGTGATCCCCCCGTGGTCATGCATCAAGACCGGCTGTCAGCCAGAATATGATGTGATGGTTGAGTAATTAGTAGTTAGGTAAGAACCATTGAATGAATGATAGACCGTTAGGTAAGAACCATTGAATGAATGGTAGGCCATTACGTAAGAACCATTGAATGAATGGTAGACCGTTAGGTAAGAACCATTGAATTAGTAGTCAGGTAGACAGTCGTCTGGTTAGGTTCTGGGCCCAGGTTTTCTTTCTCCTGAACCTCTATCCTTTTGACGTGGCGCGGCGTCCAGCGGCGCAGGAGGAGGTCTACTCGGGCTATCCGTGCGACCGCAAGGACTCGGGGGGAGTGGAGGTGGGTGTCGGAGAGAGGGGTGCCATGTGGAGTGGAAACACTCTTTACTTAGCGTACTTTATTGTTCGTTATTTTTATTTTTCCTGATTGTTTTGGTAGGGAAGTTCCTACCCATTAGTTAGCTGTAACAGTCGGTAAACAACTCTGTTTTTTCGGAATCTGGGTCGGACGCCCAACTGACTCAACCGACCTCAACTGCACCTAGACCTTCCAAAGATGCATTTTACCCTACCTGGAAGTCATAATCCACCACTGCGAGTTCGGAAGCACTGCCAGTTCGGAAGCATTCACCACACTTCTATGGGGTAAGGGGACTGAGCAAGCTCCGAGACAGAACAGACGAACAGACCATGAAGGAACTTTTCTGAGGGGTCAGATAGTCTTGGGATTGAGGTCCAGTGCAAGATGCTCATGGAAGTGGATGACATAGGCGGAGGACCATGTTCCTCGCACCTGTTCTTTCTCTTTTAGGCCGCTTTCATGGATCATTGCACATCATGTGGAACATCATATCCCAGACAGACCCCCGCCAGCACCACCCCTGGCCGTTTCGGACTGGCACATATGCCAGTCCCAGACAGGTCGTGTTTGGGATATATGGAACATCATATGGAACACCATTCACATCACAGCGACGTCTCCTCCCGACCGCTTGCGAGCGTCGCTGTGAGGAATCGCCCTACCCTTGGATCAACGACGAGCTGCAGAAGCATTCCCTCCCATTGCCTGAGGTGGGCATGACATTCCTGAAGGGGTCTTGACATCGCATGAAAGTGGACAACGTTTCAATTCTAAGGGACCTTTGCCAGTCCCCACTCCGACATCAGTCCCCACTCCGTACCACTGGAAGCAGCCTGATGCCTGCCCGGCAGGGCACCCGTGCACCACTAGGTGCTGCATGGACGACCGCCGCACGTGGCCAATGCGTCGATGTTTTGTACCATGCTGATCTTGCCCTACACCTATGAGGCGCGGATCTAGCACCATCATGTGTGCATTCACCATGTGCATCTTGCCCACGCACGAAAGCAGCAACGGGCACGAAAGCAGAGAGACCTGAGAGTGGTATGATGAGAGATGCGAGAGGAGTGCAAGATGTTGTGATGTTTGTTGTTACTCTGACACTCCTCCAGAGTAACATAAGGTCTTAGTTTTCAGAGGGTGTTTGGAAGACTCTCTGGGGCCCTGGGGGGGCCCTGGTGCCGATATTCCCTGGAGCCCAGACAGGACTTGGGTTTTGATAGAACAAGATGAGAAACACCCTGGGCCGGCGCGTCTCATGGGAATTGCCGGGGTGTGCGGGACCCACCGCGGGACGTGAGACGCGGGGCGTGTCAGGTGCAGCTCACGATCATGCAGCACCGGTCGCGAAGCGGTATTTGTTGCGGATGGTGGTGGATGGTGGTCGTGGATGTGCTGGAGGGTTGGTCAATGTTGGTCAGTGGTACTTGGTCACTTTTCTTCCACAGCAGGAATACAGCACCCCTATCTTCCTCCTTTTTTGGGGTGGCTTTTTGGGTGGTGATTGGTGGTGAACACCTCCAGAGATGTTTGGGATGCCAACCTGGTAGGTCAAAGGCCTAGCACGGGCGCCGAGCCCCGGCTTAGGACCAAAACACCGATCCATAGAGGGGGGCTCAATGCCCACTTGCATGGCACCTCCATCATCACTGGCCAACCCTTTGGAGGGAAACCCCCATGTCTCAGACACTGATTTGGGTGTATTGAAAATAGGGAGACCTCCCAGTGCGACCTGCTGGAAGGGACATGCAGGGACAGTCCGACCAAGAAACACACAAACAATCTTTCCCCTCCAACTCATTTTGAGCTTGAACCTCTCCACTAAGTCACTACCTGGCTTTTTTTCCCACACATCCGCCCCCACACATCAGCACCTCACCTCTGGGCAGCCTGGTCAGCGCCTTCAGCCTCTCCACGCCTCTGAGGTCGTACTACAGCATTTTCCTTTGCGACTCTTGGAAGGCGCGAGGACCTTCGACTCTCAGCGGTCAGCGATGACTGCGACGACGCGAGAGAACGGAAGCCTTTTTAGCCTGCCAGAAGGATCCATGGTGAAAACGGGGGGGGGGCAGATCCTAACGAAGACTGAATATAGAGCTGTTCTTTTTTCCGCCGGAAGAAGAAGACCGAAGACCGAACTTGACAGCTTGGTGGTAGCGACTTTTTGGGACAACGTTCGGATCCTTTCGTGCTTCACATTGTCTGGTGCTCTGTTCAGATCCGGTCGTCGCCTCTAGGAATCGTAAGAGACAGATAGGCCATAAGCTTATAGAAGTGGATAATAAATATAAGCTTATGGTGGGAATGAATAGAAAAGAATGAAAGTAATGAATCGAAGCCTTCGCTTTGTCGACCAGGTCTACAGCAGTCAACGTTTGCATTTGGCGCCTGGTTTGGAGACTCATCTCGTCAACACCTCTCAGGCGTGATGTCTGCGGACAATTTTCCGAAGATGGGGGGGAGGCACTATGAAGATGGGGCGAACGCATGGGCTTAAGTACTGCTTGGAGTGGAGGTGAGTGAAGATATGGGAAGATGAGAGGATTCCTCAAGATTGGACCCACCACACCAGCTTTCAGAGTGAGTAGATCATCGCACAACCATGTTGCATTGTGAGTGCTTGGATTGTCTGGGATGGATTGGGGTTGTGCCAACAGGGTGTGGTCGGATAAAGGCAGACTTACAGTAAGGATCATGTACCAGGACCCTCCTGTCGGGGTGTCCTGTCTGGAAGCCTAGGCTGGTAGTGTAGGGTAGTCCAGCCAGGACACCCCTTGGGTCAGAGGGTCCTGGCATAATTACTCTCTCCAGAACTTACGAGGGTCTGCGGTTCTCCTATCACCTTCCTCGTTGAGCATTTTACTGGAGGGTCTGCATGTTATATGTATGTCCTTCTTTTTCAACAGCTACCCACGGCTACCCATGAATCCGTAAATGGCCGTTCGATGTATTGACGTTCTGGCGTGCCGATCGGATCTCTGAGACCGATTTGCATATATTTGCTTCCTTTCCTGAACAACGCCTCTTAATTGATTCCAGAACGTTACATCAAACTTGTACCAACACATCGTGAGTCCGACTGCCAGATGAGCAAAGAAACACTTGAAAGCGGCTGCTCTGCAGCAGTCCTTGAACAGCTTCCTCCTTTTCATCGCCTGAAATTGCGAGGTAATTCATCCTCCCAAGCGGACACACAGACAAACACGCACACAAAGTACAAAGAAAAACACACACACACAAACACACACACACACAAACACACACAGACACACGGATCCATATATTCAAGAAGGAAGGTGAAGAACTCTGACGACTTCTTCGAGCGACCCGTGATCCGTCAGGTAGCGGAGATGGCGGGGCAGTGGGGTACCGCTTTGAACACGGAGACGCTGGGGTGAAAGAAGCGCCGTTCGGGTGGTGTGGCTGGGTGTGGGGAGTTGGGGAAGTGGAGTGGAGGATGAAGCAGGAGCGGGTCCAGGCGCCCAGGCAGCTGCATTCGGAAAGATGTTAGGAATCCGAGGCAGCGGTCTCAGGACCTTCAAGTGATTGGAAGATGAAGCACCTGGATGACATCGTGGGTGAGCGGCTCCATGTGTGCGTGGTGTATTGGAATGATTGGGATGCTTCATGGTGCTTTTGGCGCTGGGCCAGAGCTAGCCCCTCCAAGTCATCCTTCAGCAATCCGACCAAGGTCTCTGAATTCCTGGCGCCTAAGTCTCTCAAATGTCCAACACATCACCCAGCGAGCTCGTCAGCATCAGCATCACTATTATTGAACTGGTCCCAGACACTTCATGTGCCGCCCCAGACAGACCCCCCTGGCATCACCCCAACTGATCGGCATACATGGCAGTCCTATGGGTCGTGTCCGGGAGTTAGATGGGCTTGACTCACCAAAAGAACGACGCCAAAGAGTATCCACTGGGTGCACTGGTGCAGCACTGATACTGATGTCCCTGCAGAGCCAGCACACTGAGGGCCTTCCTGGCATATTGGCGGGCTTTGATTCAGGATGGCGACTATCTCAAGGTGGGCTGAACTTTGTGCGAGATGCGATCAGTTAGAGATGCGATAAGAGCATGCTTAGGAGCTGGATTTTTCAGTAAGTAGGCTGACTGAAGACGGCTGAAGGACAGGCAGGATTTTCAGGGTTAGTGGTTGTCTTGGTCGATCCATATATATATACTAGATAGCATGTCTTCAAGTGGATGTCACCTTTCTATTCTGTTCTTTCTAAATGATTTTGGGTCTTTTCAGTGCTTGTTTGCATGAGCCATCCTCGCGGGTTCCGGAACCTTGGCAACCTTGGCCTGCAGGCGAACTGGCTGGTGAAGGTGGACCCCGACACCGTTTGGTTTCCAGACCGCCTGGTACCGATTCTGCGACAGCAGGAGCACTCCGTGCACTCCATGGAGGACGGTCCGATGCAGCGAGCTACGGCGAAGCGGAGGCACAGAAACCCAGACACGACCTGTCTGGGACTGCCAGTCCGGACTGTCCGAAGTGGCCAGGGGTGGTGCTGGCGGGGGGGTCTGTCCCAGACACGTCGTGTCAGAGGAAGCTGTTCTTTTGGACCCGGGTTAGCCCAGGTGTCCGGGCGCCAGGGTAGCCATACGCAAGAAATGCCTTTCCAAGAAGGGTCAGTGATTTGAATGTGTGTGCTGGCCTCCCCACATGGATCCCTGAACGAAACCATCCAAGCCATCAAGCCGCTCCCCAAAAAGCACCGTCCACCCAAAGAAGCTCTATTCCACCTGAAACCGGACTCTTTTTTTTTTCTCCTCTCTCCTCCGCATGATACGTCATGTCGTGTGGTGCGTCCAAAAGGCGCATGTTTTTCGCTCACCAAAAGGCGCGGAGGAAAGCAGGCACGCCGCACCCGATGCGCTTCGAGAGGAACCCGGCATCTATTTGAACAACTGCGGTCAAGGACTCCACGGTCCCATCGAAGTCCTCTCGCGCAGCGCCTTCAGCCTCCCGACGTGCTTTCTTCGCCGCGGGGCGAACCGGAACCGGTGCCCAAAGTGTTTCGATTTAGCATCCATTAGATCATACATCAGGGCTAGATGCTCAAAAGGCATGTTAGTGATGGTGTTGGTGGCTGTTCAGCATCCGCAGCCGAGATTGACCAAAAGTGGTCATACCATGTGCGCACGTACCATGGGTTCTAGTTTTGGTTGATCCCGACCATGGTGACAACGGGCTTCCGGATGCACTTGACCAGGTTTTTTGGGAGCAAACATGGAAGGTTCGATGTTCCAAAAGTTTCTACCAGCTTCCAATGTTCTTTTTGTTGGAGGTGGACCTGAAAGAACCCCATTTTGATACATGTCGCGTCCTCCTCATCTTCGGGACATTTTTTAAAAGATGGAGGTGTATACGGTCCTCGATTTGATGCCGACAGTTGCACGCTGATGTGGGTACAGATGATGGAACAGACCTGGAACAACACCGGCCCCCATCCTGGGCTGAGAGGGTCAGGCCTTCATAGGCCCGCGGGCACGGAGGGGTTCCAAAACCGCCGGGGGACGGATTCAGGGTGCCCTTGTCCCTTGGGAAAGCATGTTTGGTTGCAAAAATCAATGGCAATGTGCTTACCCCCCGCAGACTGGAACCCGAGAATTGAGTGAGAGCAATTTTGTTGAATGCCAACCCGGTGGTTTTTCAATGTTTTTTCAGGTTCCATTGTTAATCTGCAGGGGAGTATATACCAGGGCCATCCAGGGGCGTCCAGTTATAGCTCCTGATCGAGGTGATTCGGGATGTCCATTAACCACCCCAAACACGGGGCCCTGGTAGATGCGTATTTGAATGCATTCAATTTTCTAGATGGTGCGAGCCGATGCGAGCCGCGAGGCTCCCATGAACACATCCGTTTCACCAACGCATGTGTGTCTACGCATACAGATGTCTTCACCCGCCGTATCACAAGGTGATTGCTTTACCCCCCGTTTCTTGACTTGATGACTCTTAGTTTTCTTCACCAACTCATGTTGCTTTGCCCTGAGGGCTATACAGTGCTACAGGCCGTCCTTTCGGACTTGCGATGGCTGTTGTGAGTCCAAGAATGAGTTCCACCGCGGCCGAACCTGTGTATCTCCATGTGGCTCAAGACCTTTCTGGAAAACATCCAGTTGGGCCATTGACCACGGCCGAACCACGGCCGGACCCCCGCTCCCCGCTTCCACGGGTGCCACTCGCTCGGCGCACGAACGCTCGGCGCATGGTGTGACCGCGCTGACCGCCGCGGGGGTCGTCTCGACAGCGGGGTGCGACAGTGGGCCGGGCAACTCAGGGGTTCGAGCGAGCCAGCGTGCGACTCAGGGATTCAGGGCACAACTCAGTGATTCAGGGCATCTTCTGTAGCCCCTCCAAGAACACCTGGCTTCATGTTTCATCAGCTTTCCAGATGTGATTTCCAAGCTTCGGGGTCAGCATTTGTAGCACTCAGTTTTCGGTCAATCCCCATGGATGGAGGTGGATCACGCAGAAGAGGCGGTGCCCGGGGATGGCAAACACCATCTCCGTGGGTCGTGGGGCCCAGATAGCTACCCTTTTTGAAGGCGGATCCGTGAGTGGTGGGGCCCAGAAAGCCACTCATGAGGTTGGATTAGCTACCCCTTTGGAAGGCGGAGATAAATCTAGCATCATTCGTTTGTCAACGTGTCCACTGTCGCCACCATAGCATCTGCCAACCTTTCCCACCCAGATCTGCGCCCCACCCACACAGCTTTCCCTACCTCCAGTTTCGAAAGTCCGTTGGGGCTTGAGAAGCAGTTGGGGCCTGAGGTGGACGGCTGACGATCTCCTATGGGTTGCGGAGCCTCTTTAAACATCGAAGAGTTCAGCGCCCTGGCTCCGCAGCGTTCGGTGGCTCGAGCAGGTCCGATGCTCGTCGCTCCCACACCGCTGGCTCCGAAGGTCGACTGGAGCTTCTAGGCTCGATGTCTGTATGTGGTTGATCAGGTCTTCAGGTATTGTACCTCCCAAGCAGGCGCACGAATGCGCACGAATGCGCGCTCAAATAGAGTGATGAGCCTGGAAGTGGCCGTGCTGACGAGGAGGTGTCACGGTGCCCTCGTCTTCTAACGTGTTTTGCCTTTTCTTTTTGAGTTCGTTTGCTGCTTGGTTGCCACGTCAGACGTGTCACATGTTCCTATATTGTTAGCTGAGCTGATCTCAACTTAATCCGAATTCAGCTTGGCTGCCCCTACATTGACATCCGAGCACTCCACAGCTTTGCAGCATACCCTTCCAGGTTGAAAAGGTGTTCCGGTTGAGATGGGCCATCTAGACACTTGAAACTAAATGCTCCCAGCAAACTCTCAGCACACCTCTCCACTCTGTTTTCACCAAAGGGGCGCTTTTGGTGGATCTTTTTCGGTTCCGAAGGGTTTGCTCGACTGTATGATTGTCTCCATCCATCAGAATCCCTACAACCAATCAGACATCTGCCAGAACTATATAGAACTCTCTGGAACTGACTGCAATTTCCAACTCTGCTCCCCCCCTCCTTCCTCCAACAACTCACCGCCAGCGAGCCCGCAACCCCCCCTTTCGGACCCCACTTCTGGCCCCCAAACGCCGACTCCACCGCGAGAATCGCTCGCTAGAGGCAGCTTCTATGCGCACTACTCCTTGGGATCGACTCCAAAGGCCCTGGGCAAAGGATCCTACGGCTCGGCTCCTCGGACTGGACCCCCGCGGGCGGACGCTTCGATGCGAGGGGACGGCGAAGAGGAGGAAAGCTGAACCGTTGGACTCGGGCCGGGTCGCGCTCGGGAGTGAAAGGGGAGGGCGACCCGTTGGGTGAACGAGAAGAGTCGGCGAGGGCGGCGGCGAAACGCTGTTGGCTGCTTAAAAAACTGCTGAGATTTGGGGAGAGATGTCAGTGAGAGGTGAGGTTTTTTCATTTTCTTTATGCCATAGGCACTTGGCAGTTGGCGCTCAGAAGAAGGCCATTGGCCCAGGTTTTGGTGGAAGTGTCACCTGCAACAGGTGGAGACCCGGCGTGAAGCTTGATTCAAAAAGCTCGGAGTGAACTTCGAGCCGCTATGTCCAACCCCACACAACGACCCGTGTCAACCACTTGCTACAAACCTAAGCACCTAGAATCACCACCTCAACAGCACCTCCCAGGTGTTTGGTATGTTCTCCACATGCCCCACCGGATGCCGCCCTCCTGAAACGCGCCACCGACTAGGCGATCTCCAAACCGGTTGCACCTCTTCCGCACCTCTTCGCGCGAACGGAGGTCTTCCTGGCGAACGCCAAGCACTCCTCGACGACGCAGAGCTTTGCCGTGAAGGTCCAGACCTCGCGACGGACGGCCACCAAGAAGAAGCTCGGCGGTACATGGCGGTCGAAGGTGCGAGCCGACGGCGGGTGTGGAGCCCGGACCTGGGAGCGGAGGAAGGTGGAGGAGCGGTTGGGGAAGCCGCTTTGCTTGAGGGAAAGTGCAGATTGATGAGAGAGGGGGAGAGGGAGATGGGTGTTCCAATGAAAAGGGGTTGGATCAGGTACCCAGGGCCCCCTTAGCCCAGGACGGTCGGAGTTCTTGCCTTCTTCGAGTGGAGTCGTTCGTCGCGGACGACGAGTTGGTAGGTAGACACTGCCAAGACTCATGTGTGATCTTCCTTTTCTAGACAGTGGACCAGTGGATGAACTAAGCATAACTAAGCCCCCCAAATCTGAAGATTGGTCTTAGAATCCAAAAGCGAGGGGGTGCTCATTAATTGTAATATATAAAACCGTCTACTGACTTGGCCTCCACATGGCACGAATACTCCATGGATGGGGCTGGGCGGCACCGCCCTCAGCATCCCTCAGCCTCGGAACTTCAGGATCGAGCACGAAGCAAAGATCTGGAAGCTCTGTGCTTCTCACCGGAACGTGCCTTGCCCTGCTAATCCGCCCGAAAACGCCGCCCCTGCCAACGCCGCGCCCCTGGTCCAAGAAGGAGCCTTGCACCTCCTGTCACCCCCAAACAGAGGGCCCGAGTCCGGATCCAATCACTTGGAATCCATTCCAAAAAAACCCCGCGACTCGCAGCGAGGCCGCAGGGACGGATGACACCATGATACGCTGGAGCTCGCCTCTCGCTCGCCCAAAACCCCCGGACCCTGAAAGATGGTGTTCGAAGACCCAGCCAGGGTGTAATTGAATGGTTCCATGATAATCTTCCAGGGCGTAATTAGTATAGCTAAACAACACTCATCCTTGATCCGAGGAGTGCCACCACCATATGATCTAAACCAAAGAACCATTGTTTCACTGACACGTTACTATATGTTTTGGACTACTTACCGAACCAGGTGAACTTTTCTTTGGTCTTGGAAGGGCTAGGGTCAAGATACCTTGACTATCGACTGCCACGTGGGACAGTCGGCAGCCAGCTGCAAAACCGTTTGAAAGCCAAGTGGTGATCAGAAAATTGCAGTGCACCGCTTGAGGTGGTCCACTTTGTACAGATGTGCCAGGAAGCGGACATTTACTTCATGGCCACTTGGATTTGGTATGATTTTGTCTTCGATGTTCTGTTTATTTGGGTGATCCGAGGGCTGAGGAGGCAAGCATAGCAGGCATAGCATAGATTTGGTCCATTCTGATTTTGGGGTAGGTGTAAAGAGCGATCAAACACTCAATTGAAAGGGTCTTAGCTGGCAAGAATCAGCTCGCAGAAGATGAGGGTGACTACCACTAACCATCGGTAAAAACGCTTACCTATGGACTCTTCGTCGCCTTTGCAACCTCAGTTCCCCTCTGCTTGGATGACGGCGCAAGCTCATCCCACACATGGTAGTGGAGCGGACGCCCAAACCAGTCAACATCAATAAAATCGGCAAACATCATCAGCTGGTGACCACGTTTCTTTAAAGACTATTTTAGCCGGGTTAAGGTCTTCACCTTCGGAATGCCGGACTTAATTTTCCCCCTCCCGGTCCCAACGAACGAACGAGCCTCGACGCACGA